TGCTGAAGTTTCCGTCTCCGAGTCAGAATTGTTACAACCTTATTAAAGCCTTTGTCAGTCATGTCCTGCTGCTTCATCAGTGCATCTACAGAGCCGGGATCAGTAGCGAGTGGTGCACTCCTCCTCGTTAGAGGCTCTCCTGACTTTGACGTGTGAGATTAGCAATAAGCAGCACACAGACTACATCAGTGCGTCACAGCTCGACAATTACAAGACCTCGACTGGCCGCGGTACATCTCTCTAGCTGGCGGGGACAGCACAGTGCAGTGCAAGCGATGCACTGAAATGTTACCACAAATCAGACCAGAAGTCTGGTTTGTTGGTGTTAAGGACAGCAAAGCCTTCTAAAGTGACTAAAACACTTCAAGCCTGCAGGTTAGTATTCTCACAAGAGGGTGTACAGTGTTTTAGTTCAAATCATTCCTCTGATAATCTGCCAAATCAGGTCCAATCAAAATGCAGAACCCACTCCTTCATCCAGATTTTGCCATTAATGGCTTAGTGTTAATTGCAGAATTTGATATTGTTTTATATTAGAGTATGTCCCAGCTGCAGTACCACCCCAGTCCAGCAGTGGCAGTGTGCTCTACCTGTCTCCCTCTCTGTTCCTCCTGAAGCTGGCGTCGCAGGGCATCTATCCTGGCACAGTGGTTGGCATAGAACTCACACAGAGACTGGCATGGGAAAGGGAGCAAAAGGCCAGTATAGGAAATAAAAATAAAAGAGTAGAAAATATAGAAGGAAGGGTTTATTATGTGGAATAAACAAAGAGTAAAACAGGGAGAAAATGAATGCGAGAAATACAGGTGGAAGAAACGGGAACAAAATATAGACGAGGACAGCCAATAGAAGCAGAAAAGGCAGAAGGTGCCGGATGAGGCACAGCAGAGTGACAAGAGAAGATTTCAGGGAGAGGAAGTGGCGTAGAAAGGAAGGTGGAGGGAAGGATAGTCAAATATCGATTATGTCTCAGTGGCCTCGGCCTCTGTTTGCAAAGAATAACACCACTCAGAGACGGCTGCGTGTTCCTCTGCAGAGAAATGGTTACATACGCCGCTTATGTGTTTGCTCCTACGCTGCTAGGCTTTACCCAATCACTGCATCGTGGTTTAACTGAATCCAACTGAGAGACAACTTTATTAGATTAGCTGCAAGAAAATCAGTTTACTGTGGTCTGTTTAGTCTCTGCTATCCTCCCTTTCTTCTCATTCTCCTCCTTGTTTAAGCAGACTGTTTCTCTCCTCTCTGACCTGTCTCGCTGTCCGGGGTAAATCCAGAGGAAATAAATACGAAACGGGGACAAAAGGGGCTCTGGGACACGTAAACAGACTGCTGTGATCCAATTCCGGAGGAATAAAATCTTCATCTCTCTGTAGTGAACTGTGTGAAAGCTACGCGAAGCAGCTGGACTCAATGTTCCTGCGTACACTCTCCAAAAACACGCCAATCAGCGTTAACACTGAAAACAACAGCAACGTGAACACAAACAGAGCAGCAGTCAGGTATAAATAGAACATCAGTAAACATGGAAGCTGTGACAAACCAAGCTGTGAGGATGTGGTTATGAGGGATGGACAGACGTGATTTAGGGATTCAGTCAGAAAAACAGCCACTGTGTTAGAAATGACTTTGTTTGCGTCTACTTCACGTCTACGTTACAAGGAAATAAAATATGCTTCTCAGCACCAAAATTAGATTTTATTTACTCTTATAATCAACAGATTTAATAATGTTAGGTTTATTTAAATAGAATAGACTGTTTTAACATAGAGATATATTTAAGGTGAATTGGAAAAAGCACGTTAATATCCTCACACTTGTGTGAAAACACCAAGCTTCCAAACAAAAATGAATAACAACAACAAGACAAATATCACAGTTGTAACATAGTATTAGATTCATATCTGTTATTTTTATGCTTCTTTTTATGTTAAACTCTTTAATTTATTAGGCAAACCACATAATACTGTGACCTGGCATTTCCTGGCTGGGTTTTTCCTGTGGGGCAATGACACGCGTGAGCACAACTGTTATACATTTTAGTATATTTTATGCTAGAAAAAGTGAACCATGATATTAAAAAATGGTTAAAATGTCTTTTACGCTGCCTCTTTTAGGGATGCCAACACGTACACAGGAAAAACCCTGCCCAGTGTGTTTGTGGCTTTCCTGTCCTGCACAGTGTTGTTGATCATTTATCTCTTTACCTTCAGCTGAGTGTTGAAAGCGTCTATCTCCAGCAGCTTGGCCCTCGTCTCTTTCTCCACAGCATCAAGCTGCTCTCTGAGCTGCTGTCTGCTCATCTCTTTCTGCTCGACGGCCTTCTGCAGGGACGACAGACTATCACCTAAGTACACACACACAGACAGCACGAGACAGCAGCAAGTTAATGAATCAAAGAAGTTTCCAAGCTACGCAGTAATTAGCAGAACAGACAGTTAACGAGGTAAAACGTACGCACTCCTAATCCCTTTTTAAAATTGAAGCAAAATATTTACTTTGAACGTTTTTATCAGAAACAAAATATTTCATCACAACCAAGGTTAAAACATTTACCTTAAACTAAAAACTAGATGCTAAAAAACATTTTAGTTAACTATAATGAAGATAAAAGCGCCACCACTCAATAGACCCACCTATGGTATCAGTTTCAAAATCGCGCCGTTATCGCATTCACAAACTACAAACTTCCATAAGCCTTTTGCGTCTGAGGGATAAAAATGCAACTGAAACAAGAGAATCTCTGGAGACTGAAACTAAACTGAATTAAAAAGTGGAAAAAAAATTAAATTAAAAATCGTAGCGACGAAATTTCAGCTGATCCACAACAACAACATGTGAGCTGAGTGTCTGCGGTACTCACGGTGCAGACTGTTCTGCTGAACCTGTTTCAGCTGCTCGTTCAGACTCTGCTTATCAGGAATGAGCCTCCCCAACCACTGCTGGGAGTCCTGCACGCAGCCAGAAAGACCAGCAGAAAGGGTTAACACGTACACGGTAATGAGCCGGTCGTCAGTGGGGTCAGAACTGTATTCGTTTATTCATTAGCTGCTGGTTTTGTTCGCTTGGCACACCTGCAGCTGCTGTTGCAAAAGCGTGATTTCAGTGATGCGCGTCTCTCGGGTCTGGTTCGTCTGCTCCACCTCTTTCCTCTGATTCGACAGACGAAACCGAACATCCTTCAGTTTACCCTCCAACTGGCTCTTCTTGTCATTCTGGAGGAACAACAGACAGAATAGATCACATTTAATACTTAAAAACAGTGAAATCCAAACTCGAGTCATGTTGATGGAAGATAAAATCTTTAATTTTGCTTTTTCTGTTGTGGAAAAAGAAA